CCAGCAAAAAATGATCTAGTTATGTAGTGAATACTATAGATGGAGGATATGCGGAACATAAAAAGGTACGTGCACACGCAGAAAATCTCGCAGGCGTGAATAATGCGAGTTCGTCTATTCCCGTGCAGGGTTAGTCTCAAAGGATTGCGTTGCTCTGCGAGCTCTAAATCTCTTTTGTGAACATACAAACACACCTTCGGTACAACTTTGCTCTGATCCATTTCTCTGTGAGAGAAACGCGCGCAACTCGCGTGCTAATGACACAATGTCAAAACGTTGCAAATGTTAGAGCTATAGTTATAGTAGACGAGTGTACACAAACAAACGAGTATCACGAATATTAGCAATCAATTATTCTGCAGTTTAATAAAACTTTAAAAAAACACACACACACACACGCACACATAAATATATGATTACGACAAAAGTGCGATTTTGCAATACGGTGTAAGAGAACAACTTTTTTTTTTTTTACTGTTATCAGAACTAAAACGAATTTATCAACTGACTATGTTCCGTGCGTTTTCCTGCAATACATCCAGGCAATTTGTTCTTTCTTATAAATGCAATATGCCGGCTCGTAACATGTATTACATTGAAAGATGTAGCTGTGCGCGAGAGTAAAACGCGACTATCGTGCGAGTGAAAAATGAACGTTACTATCTGCGCGTTGTATGACAGGGTAGTTGTCAGTGTGTAGCTAGGGTTTGAGAAATGAAAATGTCACGCTAATTGCCAACTGGTGTTATTGACTTATATGCACAGCATTTGATTCGATTTTACACTTATAGTCATTAATATTTTATTTTATACGGAGATAAAAAAAGAAATGTAAATTTATTTATAAGGCATTTACAAATTATGTATTATGTATGTATTAATGTGCTTTGTGCACACATATGTGCGTATATACGTAACAAACTTTTCAACACAATAAAATTAGAAAATACTTTCGTAATATATTTTTAGCAATTTTTATTTTGCTGGTAAAATAATGTCTTTCTCTCCGGTAGCGTTGGTTTCTGTCTTTCAAGAAACGAAATCGTACCGCCATAGATTGATCGTTTTTGTGCAGCGGTTGCGTCAAAGAATACTGTACATCGCGGGGAAAAATATGATCCTTCGCCGCCGCAGCGAGTCCGACTTAGATTAATTGGCGAAATAATGATATAATTAATTACGTACAATTAGCACGAAACTTCGCTAATGCGGAGTCCTTTCTGCTCGCTGTTCTGTTAGATATTTGGTGCGCCATTTAGGTGAGAAATGATACTGAGAAATCATCCCGAGTACTGTAATATGTATCTACGCATACACAGGAAGAAAGAGTGTGTGTGTGTGTGTATCTCTGTATTTAATTTTAATTTAAAAAATGACGTTAGTGTCGGCATATCTTAACCCTTCGTGAACTGACATGAGTCCTTCCAGACTCATCTAAAAATTTCAAACCGGTGTCTCTAGTTGAAATTAGTTTTCTTTAAACGCGTATATATCTTCAGAAGTACTAGAAATTTTTTCAGTTTCAGTTGGTTTTGTTTTATAGACACAGGATCGTTCAAACTTTTGACTCAAAAAAAAAAAAAAAAAAAAATTGAAAATATTTTTTAGAGATAATTCTAGAGTAGATGTAATGTTAAACGATTGCATGAATTTTTCATATCCGCGTCTTCGCGATATGTTCGCGGCGCGGAGTGTATACAATATATAGCTTCGAGAGTCTTTACTTTTTACCAAAAAAAAAAAAANAAAAAAAAAAAAAAAAAAATTGAAAAACTATTGATTTTTCGCAGAATGTTTGATTTTAAAATCGCGTAGGTTTCACAAAACCAGTCAGTCCAACTAGTAAGCAGTTTTGAAAATCAGAGTCCACGAAAGGACTGATCAAAAACATTCATATTTTACATAATGTCTTTAACTAAAAAATCTTTATTTCTAATTATATGACATGTACATGATAATTATGAACATGATACAGGGATACTCATAATGAGGAAGTAAATTTTAGAAAAATTACTTTATCATATAATATATATAATATATACACATTTTTTATGTAAAATTTAGAGTCAACACACATATTATTTTTCAATTGTTTGTTAATGAATTTACAATCGTACTCGTATACGATGATATTGCATATGGATGAAGAAATGAAGATGAGAAATGCTTGCTTCCGGTTGTCATTTTTCTTCGTCGACGTTAGGCTAACATACGTAATAATGGTGAACGCAACAGGTAATGGCACAGAAACGTATCCTAGTAAATTAAACGAAAAAGATTTCTGCTTTTTCTCTATCGCATGACCGCACTCTCGATCGATTATCTCAAGATGCAGCTACATATGTAATTGTTGACTTTGACTTCTCTTTCAGTTTCGTGATAACGTTCAATTTTATATATCTTTTTGTATATTTTTACAGAATTGTGGAAGAACGCATCGAAAAGAATATATTTAAGTAATCATTGTACAAGTTTTACGATTATTTTCAATTCCTTAAAAAAAAATTTATAGATTATAAATTACATCGGATATTGTCGGGTTATGACTGCGCTCTCGTTTCATCGAACTTTCATACAATTTTGTCAAGTCGGAATGGCACCGTCGATAAATTTTCCAGCAACGTTTAATGTGCATTAACGTCTCCGAAAAGATACGCACAAACTTCTTCGCTGGTTTGTATTCGCGGCACGATTTTTTACATAGATATCATATATATTTACACATATTGTTTATTTTTCAAACTAAAATAATATTATTGTATTTTTTTTTTTAAATAAAGTTTGTATGAAAAATAATTAAAACAAACTTGATTGTTACGCGCGCGCAAGATTGAATATCAATCGTTAGATTTGCATTGTTGCAATAATCGTGGTTAAATGGAGCACACTCGTGCGCGAAAGTTCGTCGTGAAAATGACTCAATATGCTAAATACACCACACAATTACAAGAACCCAGAAATTTGATAAAATATTGTACATTCAGAGAATTACCTCGTCAACTGTTAAACCGAAGGACTGCCGTGAGAGTAGATTCAATTGCGCTTGAAAAAGCAGAGTGCTCTGCCGAGGAGGTTCCATTTGCACAAAATTTAACAATTGCTGCACAGCTTATGTTGCCTTATAATTTTGAAACATCGTAGACGATTTAAAACCTCCTTAACCCTGCATATCACGCAAACGCGACATATAAATACATACGCTCGCACACACATACATACACACACACACACGCAGCAAATTATGTCATTTTCCTACAGCACAAGCTGCACGTTATATCATTCTCGTATTTTCAAAACAATTATTTTCACGTTTCTCCTGTAAATATAAATTTGATTTGACCTCATAATTATGTATGTGCATCTGTCACATATGTTTAATATTTTTTATCTAAATTTTCTTATTCGAGATTTTCAACCTTTTTGAATCTTATATAACTTCATGAGATATATAATATTAATAAAGTAAAAATCAATTCCCAAGTAATCTTCTCATCGCATAAAACTCAATTTTATCTTTTTTTTTACAATATATGTACACAGTTAAATGAAAAAAAAAAACAATTGTGCACTTGTACTAGTAGAAACAAGGATAAAAAATGCACTTTTATTTATCCAATTACAATGTGTTGTTTACTAACCATATTTGTGCTGTCATAAGTATAATATAATTACAACTCCCTCTCCCTGGAGTCGAAAATTTAAATTATTTACATGTAATTTGTACCTGTCGTGGTTCGTTATTTACTCGCATCAGACAAAAGCCAATTTAAACGAAATAGGCTGTCGCGAAAAAGCGACATTAACAACTGTCGGGATTAATTTTACATTCGACCAGCTCTCTCAACGTGTTTGTAGCGCAAAAACTAAATATTTTTTCTGACTAAATAACGTTGAATAAGACCAAGTGATATTTGAGTTGTGAATGTAATAAAATAATGTCATCGTCTCTAAAATCGTCAAAAAAAAACTCCACTAAAGACCAAATATATCTGATTCCTCTTCGCAATCTACTTTGTCCTGCGCTCTCGTGCAGAAAGGCTTATCAACCGCGTGCATTCCCAGAGAGAACGGTAATGAAAATGCCTCCGGAATATTTCACGTGCCCTTTTAATACATCAAGGGATGGCGGGGTAGAGAGAGAGAGAGAGTACCTCGAACGAGGGAGGTGGGAACGAAGGAAAAGCTGCTGTACAGTCGACGGCGGAATGAGCGAAGTAAAAGGGACGTAAAAGAATCCCTTTTTCATCCTATGTGCACGTCATCCTGCATCCTTTCTCTCTCTCTCTCTCTCTCTCTCTCTCTCTCTTTCTCTCTCTCGTGGTCTTCTCATTTATAGCTCTTAATTCGAGCGACACGGTTAGCCCGAAGCATCTTTCTCTATCACTTTTCTACGTCGACATGAAATTGCCTTGTCATTGTTATGAGCGCATTAAAAAAAAGTTTTGCGGTAAATTACAGTATAAAGTGAAAAAACACGGCGTAAATTTATATTGTTATTGCGCGTCTATAATTTTAACCATTTATTCTCTTTCGAGCTTACGATGCCCAAGCAATGTGCATTTGAATGTGTGTCAGTTACGTATATATTTCACGATTTTTTTTTTTCTCAAGAAAGAACAAGTTTATGTGTGTGTGTATATACATTCTATTTATTTCGTTAATAATTCTTCTGGATAAAGATCGCTCGTTTGCTTTTTCAATGAGCTCTGTAGCACGGTCTGTAGAACAAACGGCGCAGCCACCTTCACGCTTGTCTCGTGCGTTTTCCTAGAACCGATAATAAATCCCCGTTTCTCTCTCACGTCGTATTTTAATTATCAGCGATCCGGAGACCTGTTTAGCAATTCAAATCGTACACGTGACTACACCCTTGACACCGCGCCGCGGCCACCGCCGCGACGTGAAGGACCTTGGACCGACGAAATTGGCGTGCCAGCACGCGACAGGCGCACACAACACGCGCGCTCTGTCCGGCGCTATGTAATGATCCCGTAACTTACCGTCCATTCCGGCAGCCAACGACATCGCTCGGCGATCGACAATTATCCGCGACAGGACGTTCCCAGATCGCGGCGGATCTTGCTTGTGATCGATCCATCGACGCCCGACGTCGCGAGAACGCGCTGCTCTACGGGATCTTGCGTTGCCGTGCACTCGGCAGGTCGTAGTCCTGATCCATCGACGCTCCTCGACGCGGGCGTACCGCCACTTTGAACGCAGTCACCATCCAACGATGTGTCACGCACAGACGTCGACATGATGTCACGCATACATGGTGAAAACGTTCTTCGTATCGCGTGATCTCTATCAGTGTCCCGATTCGAGAGAGAGAGCGAGAGAGAGAGAGAGAGAGAGAGAGATCGAGAGAGACAGAAAAGAAAAGAAAAAGAAGAATGAAGTGCGAAAGAATTCCGGGAATTACAGAAGGGAAGAGTGTGGGTGCGACCACACACGGGGGGGAAAGTCTTCGAGTCTCTTCAATCTACAATCGTTTCGATTATCCACGTCGCCGCGAAATGCTGGTATACGCGCGAGGAAGCCGCCTTAAGCCGCGCCATTCACTACCGGCAGATCGGTTGGAATATTTCGCGACAGTATCGGAAACCCAAGCAACGTCGTATCCAATCCATAAGGCAGCATTTTATCGTCGGTGCTAGAGCTTATTAAATTCTTGGTGGAAGAGCGGGCACTTGTGCTTCTTCTTGAGCGCGATCGTTTCTTAACCTTCCTCTTGAGTTTTTCTTCTTCGCCCGTCTTTTGATCGTCTTTCAACTCACCTTCCACTGCGATTTAAGTTTTCTTTTCAACCTTCGCTTTGCAATTGATTCGCTGTCCGCCTCCTTTCTCGATTTGACAATTAACCCTGACAGACTAAATGACCGATTCGCTATATACTCGCACCAACGACACCGAACGGCAACATTAATCCGATCTGCCGGCACTTCCAGCTAATTTTGCCGCGTCGCTACCTCGTCGATCGACGTCGAATTTCCTGGCCGGAAATTCTGCCCCGCGGCGGCTGAAACGCGGAACCGTGTTGATGAAACGCATGCACTACTTCGCACACACTAGTTCGGTAAGGGTACTTTTCCGATCAACAGGAGAGGGATCGACGATTATCGTATATAGTTTCACGTATTCGCCTTCGACTTGCGGCTAAGACCCACCCCCTTAAGTTCCAGTGTGTCTCACTCCAGTTCTAATCAATCATCATCATCATCGTTTAACTCTCCGTTTATCTTTGATCGCACACAATGCGCGCACATCTCGCACGACGGAGATTTTCCGAGAGATTCACGAAAATCCCGTTGAAATGCGAACACCCTCTTCTCCCGAGATCCGGATCGATGCGCGAGCGACAGCTGTACAGTTTCGATCGTTTCGTTGCGCGAGAAACGCGGTTGACCTCCACAATGCGCTGCGGAAGTACCTGTGGATTCCGGCATGCGACGATCGACGATCGAGTAATTGGTCAGGCGCGATCGTCGAATGTCTGTCGACGTTCCCGGATGACGGCGAGTCCTCCCGACATAGATTACGACCGACTGGCGTCGTCGTCGTTGTCAAGAGATGGCATCACATCGCCGTCCTCGTCGCCGTCGTCGTCGTTTATCTCGATCGGCCAGGCAGCACTTTCGAGCCACGTCGTGGAGCGTACGGCGAGCGACTGGCTGTCTGCTCGAGTTTCCACACCGCCTCGAATCCCGAATGCTCGCGCGCGTTCGAGAGGGGTTGGTAGTGAGAGGGCGCGAGAAAGAGAGGGAGAGAGGAAGAGAGAGAGAGAGAGAGAGAGAACGCGCATGAGGGAACTCCACCCTCTCCCTCTCTGGTAAAATCCTCTCGCGCGCACGCTGCCTGCGACCAACCCCTAATTTCTCAACCCTCCTCTACCAGCTACCTTCTACTCCTCCTCTGTATATCGCGCTGGTTGTCCTCGTCCTCTTCCCATACGTATTTCTCTTTTCTCTCTTTTGTTCTTTCTCGTGGCGCTTCTTTCGACATTCTTTCGTGTCCTGTTTCGAGACTAGAAAGAGACCCTCTAGAAATTTGTTGGCGCAGGTTCTGTTATTGTCTGCAGATACGAGACTTTGATTATTGACGGCACGTTTGTAGCGTGCTATCTGATATCACTAGAGCGCGGGGAATCGCGCGTTCATAAGAGTGTGCGGAGTTGCTCCTACTACGCGAGTTACTTCTACCTCGAATATTTTGCCGTCTTTTTTTGTTTTTAGAAAACAAAAAACAACTCTTAACAAAATTCAAGTAACATTATATCAAAATGCGTAACTACATCTTATCTTCAAAGTTAGGAAAATAGCTGTACGTTATTTAAAATATTATTTAGTTTTTTTCAACAATACTGAGATAAAAAAAAAATATACGATGTCGCGCAGACACTTATTGTGACAATTTTTAAATCGCATTTAACATTTCAAATGTCATATAATGAATTTGTTTGATTATCTATGTTTTCTCACTTTGTAATTATAATTTAAAGCTCTCATGAGAAAACTCTTATAAGTTTATGACAGTTTTAGCGTTACTCATGCTTGCAACATGACATGCAAAAGCCGAACATTTTAACATGAAATTATTCCAACGGGAAATTAGCGAAAGGGGTTATTGCTTCTCTGTTTTTGTTCAGTTACACACAACTATTCCTTTAACATTTTATTTTTCTTTCTCGCAGACATACATTTCATAATTGGCATTTGTCAACTTATATAATATATATATATATATATGTAATGCCATATGTATAATAATATTTGTGTGTAATAATATTTATAATAATATTTATTGATTATTCTTCAAAAAGATGAACTAAAAATATTTTGACCAATACTTTTTGTGGTTCGATTTATTGAAATAAAACTTACTTTTCTAAAAAAACAAAAAGATAAAAAGAAGGCGCCAAGTACACGCGCACAAAAACTATGTTCTCTCTTTATGTTATTATTTTGTTTTTATTTGCACAAATATTAATTTACAGACAATTTTGCATTCTGCTATTTCTATAATAATTAACTAAAGCTAAACAGTATTAATTTTGCGCATTTCAATGTGATAATTAGCGCAACGCTTATAATATGGAAATTATATATTCTCACGTTGTATGCATCTACCGTACCTATTTGTTATTAATCATCTCCGTTATTCTGCAGGTTACAGTTATGGTAATAACATGTCGTGATATAGCTTAAGCTGCAACAAAAATCAATAATCTATAGTCATATCCCCTTGATTCGCGATCGCTTGACCTATATAATTTTTTAGCCGTATAATTTTCATAATGGATGAAGCAACATCGACGTGCTTGTTTTGAACACATCAAATTAACATTGCGATCAGTCTTCGTCAGAATTACGTCAATTACAGTTAATATATCAGAATGACTAGATAATGAAGACGAAATGTTTGTGTCTTTGATCTATCTCGTATCTATAAACAGAATGACGCGAATTTTGTTTGTTTTTTTTTTTGCAAAATACCGTCTGATACATTTAACTAGATCAAACGCATCGAGTAGAAATTTATTTACGTAAATCGCGCAAATGTTGATTTCAATTCTATAGATACAACGTCTGTGGCTAATATTAAACTCAAAAGTCTGTTTTGTGCAGATTCAGGCTGAATGCGGCTTTACAAACTATCTCATAAAGACCAAAATCTCCGCACAAATGACAGCATAAATGAATCCGGCGCGCAGAAGGCGAACAGAAGTACGTATGTGCAGAAAGAAATTTATAGTTTTCAATTTTCTGTCTATTCCTTCCTTTCTTCTCCCGGGTTTGCGCGACGCTCTTCAACCGTATGCACGATACTCTCATTTAACCCGTCCAATATGACAGGCTTCCTAGAAGATGAGATACGTTTACCCTCTTTTACGTACATAAAAGAGATTTTCCATCGACGGTTATCGATATTCCAACGATCCCGCCAACGAAGAGACGTGGCGAGACACGGTGTTACATGCGGTTTGCATCGCGCTTAGCAGCGGAAGAAAAATACACATTCGCTAATTCACAATAATAACGCATCCGGTGGTGAAGCGCAATAATTTATTTTTTGTTTAAGTCTGTTGCAAATTCTCATATTTTTAACATATTTTTCTATTGCGATATAAACAAGAGAAAATTAGAAAATTGATCGCAAATGAAAGAGAGATGGGAGATAAAAAGAGCCAATTACCGAATTGTAATTTTCTCTACAAAACGCGATGGTATAAATGATGTATTTACACGTTAAAGTTGATACAATTTGCTGTTCGATTCTGCTTCTCCGTCAAACGCTTCGCGGTTACGTCAGCAAAAGGCAATTTACGTATTTATTTATCTTGTCAACTCGTTCGTATGTTAGACTGATTAGCGTTTAATCGATTATTACAGCGCGTCGAGGTGAGAATTGAATGTAACGCGTAACCGTTCCTATAAATGACGCAAAACAAATGATCCGTTTGAACGATTTTATGATGTAATTTTATATATCAATTTGACGTTTTTGTTGATGCAACGCGTCATGCGCCAGCATGCATGTAAATGCACGTTGATATTCGGTGTCTTGTGGCTCGTTCGCGCAAATTAAGCGGGCTAGTAAAAATTTTGTTCACTGTCATTGCGAATGAAATCAATTACGTAAATTAATGTGCTTACTGTACGGACCGCAATCAACGTTGATATGTACATTTAGCGGTATATTATCTCACGCAGAAATCCCACAGGTTTGCGTCAACACTGACGATTGTTCATTTACATATCATTGCATACGACATATTAGATGGATTACGAATTCACTAGGCGCAGTACGAGCACGAAGTTAAATGCCCATTAAATTATTTTGTCGTGCGATTGAATGCATTATTGAAAACAGAGTTTTCAACGTATCCAATATCCATAAACTGCTTAATTTCTGCTCAAATGTGGTTTTGGAAGAAAACAAAAAAAAAGAAGAGTGAAATATATATACGATATTTCAGTAAAATAACAGCTGTGCGTAGTGCGCGAGACTTGACTTGGTTAAACATTGGTGAATCACACCTTCCTTTATATTACAAGTCACTTCTCACTTTGTGAACACGGATGAAGGTCTCTACTCTCCAAAGTTATACAGGATATGCTCTCAATCTGTTCAAAATGATCGAGTTTCAGCGTCGTGTACAAAGGCTAGAGTAGGGTATGTATATCGTGCTAACAATTATTCCGTGATTGACCGTCTAGATTAATAAAGTTATAATTACTATATGTCATATATTAACATGAGGCAGATCAAGGGCTTAGATATATGCAATTTACTTCGAAATAATGTACAAACATGATATTTGCGCGATGAGTTTAATTAAATAGGTCAAATAAATTTTACAGATTAGATTTAAATAATAAAAAGAAAATGACTACACACACAAACACACACTCTCTCTTTTTTTCTCTATCCTCTTTTTCTCTCTTTTCCTCTCATTTATATATATGCGTATTCGTAATTATGTTTAGGGTATACGTATAATAATAATTATAAAACTTTATATATATGTATATAGTGTGTTTTTTATATATTTTTTATATATTTGCAATAATTATTACAAAAAGCTTTTAAAATTTAATATACTTTAATATCAAACTCAGATTATTAATTGTCCACTTTTATTATATCAATGAATCAGATGTTAAATAATAATAATAATTGATAAGTTCAAAATTATCCTAAAAAATATGTAAAAATGTTTGTGGATATAACTTTTGAATGTCTAAAACGCCTGTATAGTCACTTCTATTTTATTATTTCTACAAGCATGCATATATATCTGTTTTGAATTCTAGAGCAACTCGGTTTATCCTTCTTGTGTACAAATATTGATGCAATTCACACCGTCCCTCGACGCAGGTTCTTATTACATGTGCGCATAAATTGCGCAAAAAATATCATCCATCACTTCTCTAAGCTAGTACATTATTCGTTGTCGACAAATTTTGAATTGAACTTGTATGCACTTTCTGGTTTACTTCTTTCAGCTGCAACTTTTTTTAGCAGAAAAAAAAAGAGAAAGCATTGTTGTTTGCTTTTCGACTATGAAATATGAAAGCAAAGATTAATGTATTCCTAGGTAGCTCGAAAGTTCACAAAAACACATACACACACGTGCTCACACACGCAAATTCCTTAGCTAAAATTTAAAAAATGTAAGTTTTTAACTACATTCTATTTCACACAATATCTCGCGATATCTTTTTAAAGTTAAGCTCGATTCTTCAGATCTCGCGGTGATATATTTTACACAATGAAGGGCAGACGAGAACGCGCGCTTTCAGAACAGTCTGCACGTTTTCGCGGCTCTTGCAAGCATCGCAAACTCGCGAGACATGTGCCGTCTTTCAATAAGGTGGAACACCACGGATATTCGTTTGCCAAGAGAATCTGAGAAGATTCCACCGTCGTGCGTTTTTGAAATTCCGCATCGATATTTACCCGTATCGTCTCTGTCGATACCAACTCTTGCTTGCGCGTAGCCAAGCAGCGTTTACTCGCGCGCTTAAATAAATTCATTTCTTTTTACGTATTCGGTTTTCGTTTCTTCGCACTTTGTGCAACCTGCACGAGGCGTAGAGATACGAAAGTGTAATAAAAGAGCGCACGACTGAGTTTC